TGTTAGTATCATTATCACCAGAGAAAAGTAACGATGGTATTGACATTGTTAGTTTATTGTCATAAATGAATGGGAAAAGAAATGTTTTTATTAATCACGGTTTGTATACTGTAATAGGCAAAACGTGGGCTAATAAAAGTCAATGTGCTGTAAAAAGTGTCTACTTTATCACAGTAAAGGCTGTTTATTACGTCGCCATATAAATGACGTCACAATGTTCCAAAGCAAACTAATGTAATTTATAAATTTGATATGATATTTTGGCAGCTTAATGTAATAAGACAATTTTGATCTACAAATATAGCTATAATTCTACTAGTTTTTAAACATCTGTTTATCAGGTGAAAGGAACCTTACCACCCAACGCCAATTAAAGCCCCGGACGGAGGATGGGGATGGGTCGTTACATTTACCTCCTTCATGGACCATGTATTGGTCGATGGAACGAATTATACCTATAGACTTAATTTCCCAGAATTTCTTCGACATTTGGAGAAAACAAAGAGAAAACACAACATACATGCGTTAATGGTTGGAATCTATCTTGCTCTCGGTAAGTTTGACCTTATTTATTGACTGATACCTTTCTATCTTTTAAAAGAAAAAAATCATCCATGGTATTTTATATTTTGCATTTAATGCAACTGGTTTTCCGCTTTTTGTATGTTTCAGATTTAGACTCAGATTTCAGTTACATCACATTAGATTTCCACGAGCTGGGTTCAGGTTTTGTGCATGAAGATCTTTATTGCGTTGGTCAAATACGGATTTCACAGTTCTGTACTACGTGAAGCACTGTTGTTTGTTGTGTGAATTATCATTTACTCCTTCTTTGTGACGTTAATTATCTATTACCTCTTCGTGGATGTTAATTATATCGGTAAGTATTGTAAATATATATTATCAACAGTTACAACGACCAACTCATCGTTATATAAAGGTTGCGCGTATACATAGTTCTGTATTCGTATAAAGACATAATTGGGACAAAAGATATTCATACCGAGGTATCGAATTGAAGTTACTGTACCCGGGGATATGTTTTCTGAAGGCCTCTGCTAGGGGTCTAACGACATTGTCTGTGATGAGATTGTAATGCAATCCTCACAACCATTTCCTCTTAATATGAAAAGGCAAAGCCTAAACAAAATGTAGCTTTTGTTTATCTCTGATATTTACTGATGCAGAATAAGATAAGATAAGATAAATTCCGTCTGAAGTAGGCAAATTTAGGAATAGCCTTGCTACACAAGCTTTAATTAGATAAAAATTAGGGGAGACAGGGGGCAAGTCTTTCTGGGCAGTATGTCATTTGTTTATTCGCCGAACGAGCCTTGTCTTGGGGTAAGTTCGGACAGGGAGTCGGGTAAGTTCGGCCCACGTTGGAATCAGTTTAACTATGATTTCATAAAGCATGCAAAGTCAGATTTCCCAACAATTTCAGGACTGTTTCATTTCTTTTTGCTATGTGGTTGTGATGACATGACAAAACAACAGATATCAACAATAGACTTGTATTCATAAGCCAGGCGTTCATATTACAACAATACAAGTTTACATGCCGCCAAGCTGGTTCCAAGAGACCAGAACGAGGCTAGTTATAGTCTGCATCGGATAAGTGCTTATATTAGAGACTCGATCTCTCTATAGTCTGTTTCACAACATAGTAATACTAATTATTACACAACATCTCCCTTAAACTCTTTATAGTTTTAAACAACAAAGTAACCATAAACTTGAGTATTATTACTGACTAGATATTTTTCTAATATCCAAATGTATATTATTAGATAATTAACCAACATGGAACTTCCAAACTATAAGTAAAACTTGAACACATGAACATTCTGAACATAATTACAGGTCCATTCTTCGAGGAGCCTTAGAAAGCCTACCAGAACGTGTTTTGACAACTGCATAATTTTGATTAGTTTTTAGACTTAGCTCGACTGTCCTCGACACTTTAGGAGACACATTGACAGGCTTAATAACTTTCACTGGAGAATGCGCGTCACATACATTATGACTAGACTTATCAACTGATTTTATCACAGTCTCTTTACACTGTTCATTTGGAACATCTTGACATCCTTTTGGTTGATCAGTCACCAATGATGGAGTATGGACGAGCTGACGACGGTTCTGGCGAATAAAACCAGAGGGTACACTGACAAGATATGACCTGTCAGAAACAGATTCTTTCACTGTTCCACTGTNTGCTTCTGCGCAACACGGTTTTCGCGTTCCTTTAATCGAAAATCCGCAAGATCAGGCCACTTTGGTTCCAGATTGCTTGGATTCGCAGGGAGATTCGTCCTGATTTTACGACCCATTAACAGCTCAGAGGGGCTGTAACCACCTTTGAGAGGAGTCGCACGATAAGCCAACAAAGCAAGATATGGATCCTGTGAACCACCAAGGATTCGTTTAACCGTCTGAACTGCTCTTTCAGCATCCACATTGCCTTGAGGGTGACGGGGGCTGCTAGTTGTGTGGTTAAATCCGTACTTTGTTGCAAACTGTTGGAACACAGCACTCGCATACTGTGGTCCATTGTCGGATACCACTTTTTCCGGTATTCCATACTTTGCAAATATGGATTGCAAGTGTAGCAGTAAATCATGGGAAGTCGTTGAACCGACTTTCGCGATCTCAATATATCGAGAAAAATAGTCCACCACTAGTAGGTAGTTGGTTCCTTTCCAATATAACAAGTCTGACCTCAACTCTTGCCAAGGGCGTTCCGGGAATTCGGTTGGTTGGAGTGGTTCCGGAATGTCTGCCCTTTTTGTGAGACACATAGTACAGTTCTTAACGATGTCTGCGATTTCACGGTGTATCGCAGGCCATCAAACAGATTGCTTGGCGCGTTCCCTACACTTAACGATACCCTGATGCCCGTCGTTTAGTTTTTGCAGAATTTCCGCGCGAAGTGAGGAAGGGATAACCAATCGATTTTCTCTAAGAAGAAGACCCTAACAGACTGACAACTCTTCCCTCACCTAGGCTTGCCAGTATTGTTTTGTCGCGACTGAAATAGACGGCTTCTCAAAACCTGACCAGCCGTCCTGGCAATATGTCATTATGATACCACACACGGAATTTTCATGAAGTTTCATTCTAATTTCCTCCAAACTTGTCTCTGAGGCTGGCATGTTTATCAATATGCTGTCAACGTATGCCTCTACGTCCAGGTGAAAATCATCCTCCTCCGGAAGTTCCATAGGTTGTAAGGGTGCTCTGGATAGAGCATCAGCGATATACAGGAGTTTTCCTGGGACATGGTTGATGTCGTAACTATAACGCATCAGACGCATTCGGAAACGTTGAACCCGTGGGGGTAGTTCTGGTAATGGTTTTTATCCTAGTAAAAAAACAAAGGCTTATGGTCTGTTTCATTCTGGAAATGCATGCCGATAAGTAGTTCAGATTTTTTTCACAGGCCCAAGTCGTTGCCAACGCCTTCTTCTCCACTTGCGCGTATTTCTGTTCTGTAGAGTTCATGGCCCTTGACGCGTACGAAAGAGCAGTAGGACCATGCAATAACAAAATCGTTTTTTCGTGTTAACTTCTCGAAATTTCGACTTAGTAATTCGAAATTTTGAGTAATTATCTTGAAATTACAGGTTAGTAAGTCAAAATTTCGAGTTACGGTCTTGCAATTTCGGGTTATTAATACGGAAAAACGATAATGATTTTTTCCTTACATGACCCTTATCCTCTTACTTACAAACCATTGTATCATCAGTATTCATACACATTAGATAGCAGCGGCAGTTATGCTCTAATAATCTAACCTCCTCATACAAAGGATGTGGAAGGGTATTGCCACACTAAATGAAAATATAAAACAAAATACCTGAGTGTCAAGGTAGCAGTATACGGTAGAAATGGCCCGACTCTGATAAACAAGGCACATGTCGAGGAAATGTAAACACAGCGGATTTACCCTACACAACACATGTATACATGTATATATATTTGTAAACTGCATTACATTTACAATACATATAAAGTACTGAGAAGTGTATAAACCTCTTTTTTCTATGTATGCCACTTGTGTGAAAACCATGGTTACCACATCAAAAATTACCAAAAAATGCCAAAAATTGCTATTTTTTAACCCAAAATTTGATCCCCGCAACTAGTATTTTTTTCCTAAGCTCTGTCTGAAATTAAAGATTACCTACCTGGTTGCAGAATTATCTGGGTCCCAGTAAAGTTGTAAAACTTGATTTTTTGCAATTTTGTGTCGTGTGCTGTTGTCAAAATTTTACCTCCTGTAAAGCTAGCTTTTCATGTGTACGCACCCTTTCGGATTATGGCCAAATTTTTATTCTCAAACCAAAAAAATCTTCTTTCTTTTTTACAAATGTGAAGCTCACATAGCCCACTTCATCATGCTTATACTAATTTTAGTACAGTTTTATTTTTATATTTTTTTTACATATCATTATACAGGGGTTAGCCATTTAACAAAAATATCACCCATGGCCACAACCCTCTACTGTACACTGCTACCCAACAGAGTGAGCAACAAAACCATGAAAACATAAAAAAAACCCCATAAACGTACACCTTGAAATCGTTTTAACCCATACAAAGGGCGTCTTGTTACCTTTCAACGCATATCTGTTGAACCAGAACATATCTATCTTCTCTCCTACTGGACGATCCAAACAGAGGACAGATTGTAACGTGATTAATAGTTGATGTTTACACTGTCAAAGTGTAAAATAATATATGAACTTAGTAGTGTTAACGTTAGAATGAGAAAGGTAGGTGTAGACATCGTTATCATACATCAACGCATCAGCATTCCTTCTTTTATTGCTGTTTTCGTTCTTTAATGTGTAATTTTAAGCATATTGAATAAAGAGTAATACAGTGTTTACCCTCCCTCTGTAAACACCTTTGTGTAACCACCCATTATTGGCTTCAGTGCACACGTACGGGTAGAAAACATTGTTACTGAGTTAGGTTACACATGGATGGAACTGCGTAGGATCACCTTGTGAAAACTACGGATTTGAAGTCATAACATCAAGTCTGACACTGATATTGGCAATTGTTCGGCAAACGAGGTGATATTGTGTGTTGAGTGGTAGATTATCGGATACTTTGTCATTTCACGGACATAAACATAATTGGTAAGTATTGCAAACACATATTTACTTACTATTCGTAGTGAACACGACATCCTGACCTTCCTGCGGCGCAACTATCGTCATTTACAAGATTCATTGTTTTACCTTTTTGCCATTTGATGTTGGATTCTATCAACCTGATAAATCTGAAATCTTTCACAGTTTGAAACATATCAAAAATGACATCTTTCCTTTTTTTTATATAGACCAATCAGAGCGGTACTCTCTATCAATTGCATTCAAACCCCAATTTCTGTTCAGTTTGTGTCGCAGATGAAGGAACGGTATAATAAATGATTGTTAAGTATATTTGTGCTTAAGACACTTAGATATTTACTTAGCTTAATATTTGATGACATCTGTGTAAACAAATTTTACCGACTAGTAGCATTAAACAATAGAATTGTAGGCCATTCGAAATAGCACAAGGCCTTGTCGTTCCTGGCGTCGTTAGAATATGGTGCCAAAGAGCACACTGTAAGTTACCGATTTTTTATGCAGTAACATTTTCGTCGTTGTAGGTTTTTTGGGGTTACAACTCGTTGAAATACCATATACATTTCACTTGTATTCAGCATATAGCGATATATTTCCACCCTGTTTAGGAATTGTTGAAAATAAATATTGTATTCAACAGGATAGCCTATGTCCTCTGTCTTAGCGTTTCTATGTCGATAGCAATATCACACTTCATGGTCTTACATTTATATGGATTTATTACAGTTTAATTTGATCAAGTTCAATTACACTGTTGCGACTCTAGATGAGTACCCTATTTCTAAGACACTCCACTATGAATCGAACATGAGACTACAGAATACTAGTCAAGTGATCTACCTATTTAGCTAATGGGGAAAATATCTTGTCTAAGGAAGTAGCAAGAAATGGATAGCGTAATGATGTTGGTTGTGCAGATTTAATTTCCTATCAACAACTAAGGTCATTAAGGGCATGCCTCCATGTGTGTTGTGTATGCCTGCATGTGTGTTGTGTATGCCTCCATGTGTGTTATGTACGCCTCCATGTGTTTTGTGTATGCCTCCATGTGTGTTTTGTATGCCTCCATGTGTGTTGTGTATGCCTCCATGTGTGTTGTGTATGCCTCCATGAGTATTGTGTATGCCTCCATGTGTGTTGTGTATGCATCCATGTGTGTTGTGTATGCCTTCATGTGTGTTGTGTATGCCTCCATGTGTGTTGTGTATGCCTCCATGAGTGTTATGTATGCCTCCATGTGTGTTGTATATGCATCCATGTGTGTTGTGTATGCCTACATGTGTGTTGTATATGCCTCCATGTGTATATACCTCCATGTGTGTTGTGTATGCCTCCATGAGTGTTGTGTATGCCTCCATGTGTGTTGTGTATGCCTCCATGTGTGTTGTATATGCCTACATGTGTGTTGTATATGCCTCCATGTGTATATACCTCCAAGTGTGTTGTGTATGCCTCCATGAGTGTTGTGTATGCCTCCATGTGTGTTGTGTATGCCTCCATGTGTGTTGTATATGCCTCCATGTGTATATACCTCCATGTGTGTTGTGTATGCCTACATGTGTGTTGTATATGCCTCCATGTGTGTTGTGTATGCCTTCATGTGTGATGGAAGCCATGAGAGCAGAGCCTATTGCCTTCCTTATCCTGGCGAATGTTCAACGTCAAAGCCAAAAGTGAGGTATTGCCGAGCAAGTCGCTAGGAAATAAAAGGTAGATAGAAGTAGAGAGAACGATAAAGATCCCAAATATTGCAATGGGTGCAGCTTATTAAGTTTGGTTGCTTTTGTTTCCCAAGCAGAGGGCACAAACACAAACCCACATTCTACAGGGGTTCCCCATTAGTCGGCTTTTACGATAGATACCGCCAGTAACAGTAGTTGTATTCTTTTCCCGATCCCCGACCTGCAGGAGTGGCCAACTACTATGAACCAATATCTAATAAATCGAAAAATGGGTATAATAAAGTTGTGGGGTAACGTTGTTCGGTGTACACGTGATGTGCGCACGGTGTGTGCACAATGTTCGAACGATACAATTCTTGACGATTATTGCTTGCGAACATTTGTGCGGACGATGGACGAACGTTGTGCGATGACAATCGTAGTTGGTGTAAATTGAGAAATGGCTTAAAGCAATATACGGTTTCGAGTTTGAACAAATAAACTTGATTTATTGAGTATGTTTCTATATTCTAGCTATATATATAAGATAATCTTTCAATATTTTCTTAAATTGAGAAAGTATGCTGTTTTGGTAATTTTTAAACGACCATACTCGACACATGTAAAATTATAAGACGTATGGACACGGTCCCTTATCCCGGTAAACAAAACCACTTTGGACATATACATGTACCTGGATCGTAGTTTTCCCTACTTGGCACTCATTAAGGTGTGAAAGTCCAGGTGATGGGGAGCTGTAGACCAAAGCGAATGCAAATAACAAATAGCAGTCATGCGGTATCATATTTCGTCAGACACATGGCGCCTGATAAAACTCCGGTCACTAATCAAAATGTTATTTACCTGTTCTGGGATCCAAACCCATTCTTGACAGTCTAACAGGGTCACTGTAATATTGTGTGACACGCATTTTAAAATTGAACATAATCTTAATTAATATGTTGAGAAAATATATACAATGTTCCTTATTCCGTACGAACCTTCCAGAATTTTTCATTCCGTAATGTTGTAATATCTTTACGGATAGAAGCACACAACGGCGCAAATGATTGTTAAATCGCACAGTTGTGCGCATCATGTGTGGACGAGGTGCGGACAGTGTGTGCGTGATGTATGCACGATGTGCGCACGCTGTTTTTGGTGCGTTGTGCGGTCAAACAACTGTATAGATACATAATGATTTCAACTTATAGACATGTAAATATATTCCATTGTTCATGTTTGTTCATATATTTGTAAGCTGAGAAATATATAAGTTTCATTGAGGTACTTTAAACTGTCGAAATATTAATTGTCCTCTGTCATTTCCTGATACTAACTGTGAATATGTATTCAACGTCACACTTTTGACGTCACAATATAAATGACGTCAAAACCAAGCAAAATTATCACATTTATAAATCTATAAGAATTTTGTCGCAGTTGAAAGTTACGAATAAAACCTACTCATTCCATATGTTATTATGTTATTAACTGTTTTAGGTAAAATGAGAAAACTGTCACTAGCCGACGTGGTACATGTATGTGAGCATCAAACAGTTCAAGTACCGGACGGTGGATGGGGATGGATGGTCACTTTTTCCTCCTTTATTGTCAATGCGTTGATTGACGGTGTGAGTTTTACATTCGGAATTTTCTTTCCGGAATTCCTGAGATATTTTGGAGAAAGCAAAGCGAAGACACAGATGTTACACTCAGTATTGGTTGGAACGCTTCTTGTTTTTGGTGAGGTGGAACTATTTCATTAACAGATCTTTACATCTTAAGTAAACATTTCACTTAAAAATCACATTCTGTATTTGTTGCAATTCGTCTTTCTGTAGTAACTTAACTTTTGTAACTGTGTTATTTAATCAAAACATCAGTATAGAAATTATAATTCTTTTATTTCTACAGAGATATCAAGAATAAGTAATTCTCACCAAATTTATTTTGAGGCGACTGAAAAACTGAAATACCGTTGTGAGAAACTACCCAGCGAGCACAACACGTACTGAAAACGTTGCAGTTACGTCAGGACAAAACGGTGCAAATAAGTAACAGTAACGTTGCAAATTAAAGTTTGCGGGACGTTTTCATGTAACGTTCGTACGACGTTTGTGTGTAACGTTATGACCACGTTTTATTAACGTTGTATATACGTTGTCGCCACGTCATATATACCACCATATATATTCAATCACATGGTTCTTTACAAATATCTTAAATACGCATAGGCTTTGTTGATATGAGTCACAGTACATCAGCATATCATATATATTGAAGACATGTTTAACGAGCCCTGTCATGTAATCCATTTAATAACAACAAACACACCTTTACAAGTGCAATTTTTGTAATTGGCAGTTTGAATACGTTTGTATGTATCAACCTCTACTTAAGCAATACTTTTGTAAGTTTCTTTTGTTCAATCTGCATTTTGACACGGTGCACATAACCTTTTTGGACTACATATTATGTTGAAGAACATGTAATAAATTCAAATATCGAAAAGGAAAATAGCAGCTGGAGTAATGAAGTATTCATAATATGGTTTACAAAGGTTTTCTTGTAAAGATAATTTGGAAATCCATTAGCAAAGATCATTGCTCTTGAATATTTGCAATCACAATAATGCATGAGTCAGATGTTTACACACGCTCTGTCGATTTCTTCGTAAACATACTGAAGGTGTCAAAATGTAAACGGTACGAAAAACTTCAACAATTACTAACCTAACGCAGTTGATATTGAAACATCTTCGAGCATTCAGATTGTGAAGCTAGCAATCAACAATAATCTAGTTTGGGTGACTCCTTATGACCAGTGGTCAAATTTAATCGATGGGCAAACAAAGAACCGGAAGTACAAAATACCGCCCAACTCTTTGAGTTATTGTTTCTTTTCGTCTTTTTACAAAAAGAAATATTTATAATGTAAACTGTCATTCATATATGAATTTGTTAAAGCAATTTGGATGCTACCGATGTCAACAATAATTATATTTTTTTCTCTTATTTAATTAATGGACGCTACCCTCTTACAAACAAATTTTTAAAATAAGGGGAAATAATTCCAAACTGCTACATCGTTATATCTCTGCTTTAGTAAGAACAGCTTTATCGTTATTGAAATTTTAGTATAGCCATTACTGGAATGATTTGTTAAAATGCCATATTATAAAAAAAAATCTGTTTTTGGAAATACCTTGTTTTATACAGTTTAAACATTAAACTATAACAAATAATCTCAGTTTTACTCAATCGTCTCCCTACGATGATTGTGTGTTGATATCATACAAATTACGAATTATTCGCGTTTCTTTTCATTTAAAGTGATTTTATCATTATAACTGAAAAGAAAGTAAAGTAACCTAAGTAGAACGTTACTACAACCTTATCCTCAAACGTTGCACAGACGCTTAGAAAAAGACGTCCTCAACACGTTGCATTAAGGCGCAGGCATTGAGACCAGAATAAGACGTTTTCCGGACGTTTTCCGGACGTAGTGCGCCCACTGGATAGGTAATAATGAATAACATAAAACGTCATCAGCGAGGATTGACGCCTCCAAGGTAGCGAATATTGATTAGGTAGCTTATCAAAATAGGGAAATGTGAGCTATGTTAATTTTCGCATTATCTATTTTCACAATTGTGTTATCAAATGACATCTCAACAGGAATTTAAAACATACACTGGGACATAATATATCTATACAAGTTTACCCAGCGTAGTCGGGGGGGGGGG